ATAACCGGAAAGAAGATAAAGTTATGCATATTCATTATTCTAATTAAAACGTTATTTCAATTTAGAATTTTAAAAATACTTTACTAAAAAAAGTTACTAATTTTTAAATGTATCATTTTTTTTATCAACGAAACGACTGTCTTTTGCAGATATGATGTAAAAATAAATCGGTCGTCTTAGTCTTTATCAAACTTTATAACGTTCCTAATTAATGATTTTTCGCACATTCATCGCGCGTGCATGATCAAAAATCGAGCCATTCACACGCGTCTACGGCCAAGGTTATTTTGATCGTAACGCGGCTCTTTAAAGACGATTCGTTTACGCTGCATGTACACAGCGATATGGACGGCTTGCATAACGTGACCATAGAAACGGGTGTCCATTAACGACTGATGACGTTTAACGAGGTGTAGTACATTTTTTTCGCGCTTAACGAGCGACAGACCGCTGCCAATTGCGTTTATGGGAATTGCATGCGCACGTCGCGATGTAATTCATGAAATCGACATAGCCGAAATAAAAAGCGTTGCAGCCTGGTCTGACTCTCTTTATCGCCGGTTTAATATCAGCTAGCCAGATAGCCGTTACTGCAGCTTGTACGCAGCGTTTTTAATTTTTAATTTTTTTGTTTTGAATTTTTGAATACGTTTATTATGTTAAAAAACGGTTAATTCATAATAAGATTATACGAGTTAGTAACATTACATTTTTATAAACATTTTTATAAACGAATCAATAACATTACATTTTTATATACATGAGAAAACCAAAATAAGATTTTTTTTTTACTACTCTACAAAAAATTCTTAAAGCTTTAAGATAAAAGCTTTATAATACAAAGTTTCAAATAAAAATATGTTTGACGTATGAATATTTTTTATTTTGAAAATGTAAATATAAGTTTATTTCAACTTTCAAAGGATAATTTGGGATAATTCCAGAAATAAAAAAAAAATTTCCGTATTTCTAAATCTTATTTATTATTTTTTTATAATGCATCATATTTTATTTTCTGCTGAGATCAGAAAATGAAATCTGATGAGTGTAATCTGATGTAACGTATATTATGTTATATTATTATATTATGTGATAACATTATTTTTGCTATATTTTTTTGTTCATTTAATTATTCAGTTAATTTGTATTCTTTTATATTATACGCATATATTTACATTCGATTTCATAATAAAGATGCGTTACGGAGCAAAATATTAAACTATGATGGACATTTACGTCATCTTGGCGCTTGTATTGAGGAGCAATTTACTTTGATCGCGTATCATATACGCTATACATTATAGTCCCTTCACCGATCACGCTTCCCTTTCGACGTGCATCAGTTTCATTGACCACAGCGGCGATCGATGCTGTCTCTGTCATCCATCTATCCACTTCTCATCTTCTTCACGCTTACGACCATTCATTCTCGCCGTCGTCGTGTGTGTCGGAATTGTCTCTTTCGCGTGCGTGTTTCTAGAAGTCTACACGGTGACTCGTTATTATAATTCTAACAGCACAATTTTCTTAGCATACAAAATTGGCAAAAAATATTTTTAACGATGAAAAAAACTCGGTTCTTCTTTCCATCGCAATCTCCGTACAATTGGAATTTGCGTTAAATTGATGCGTTAAGTTTTACGTGTCCTTAACGATCCAGCCAAATTATTGTGTTAATTCAATACAAGATGAAAGAAATACAAATATGTAAAAAATGTAACACAATGAACATTGTAATTTATAAAAGCATATTTCTTATATAAATGAATACAACGTATTAATTTAACATATTACAAATGTTATATATCATTATAATAAAAAATGTAACATCAATTTAACGTAAAATATTCAAATAATACGTTATGTTAAGTTAACACTCGAATAAGTTAAAAATGCTGCATAAAGATTTTAATAAGACTCGATTTTAATACAAATACGAAATATTTTAACACACCTTAAATTTAATTCAACGCTTTTCTTTACGTTTCATTTTAAATAATAAATGTCTCAACATTTCAAAAATTAAGTTTTAAATTAAAATCTTCCTAATCATAATCTTTCTTTAGATATTGAATAATAACTATATTTCTTTGATTTTAACTCTTTTCGAATTAACGTGTATCGCCCACTCGAAACAATCGTCTTAATTTGAACTCTAGTATTTAGAGAGATGCGTGACTTTCGCGATATCCTATATACTCGGTATATTCAGGCTATTGTACAATTAACGTGTTTCTCGCTCGCAGCCATAGCGTATGGCTTTTGTCGGTTCACTCGCGTCAAAGCGCGTCCGTCGTACCGAGAGGTAACTCGATTCATCTCTCATCGGTTGGCGGCAACAGTCGGCGTCGAAACGTTATTCCGCAGGCCAGCACAGAGCTCGCCTATTATTGTTTACGTAATGTTTACGTAACGTCGCACACGTACACGCTGCATCAGCGACCGCGGTGCACATGCATCGGCGCAGATCGGCGAAGCGAGTCCGCTTTAAGGCTCGCATCTTACGGAGCAGCGATTCACCGTATGCTTAATTCTTTTACGATATTACGATTTTAACGACAATGTTCTCTAAAGAATTTTTATCTTTCCGCTAGAATAATATGAAGTGAAACTGAACGTAATATCTTGTTGTAATTGATCGTTCATTTATTTCTTTGTACAAAGCCTCAAGTGATGGGGACACTTTTTATTCTGAAAGTATAAATATAAGTTTGAATATATTTTTTCACATCTTTCAGAGGATAATTTAGAAAATAGAAGATAAAAGATAAATTGTTTATGATTTATTCGACTATCCAGAGAAAAAAATGTGACTTATCAATGGATCGTAGGAAATTAAATTTTAATTCTTCTTGTGAATGAAGGCAACGTGCATTCATTCAGTGCATCTTATTTTTTCTCATGTCTTGCGCTTCGTTCTTATCGCGCAAATTACCTGCACACTTTGCGCAATCTTTAATTTACAAGAGATATATTTTACAGATAATTCTATAAAAAAAATCCACTGTTTCCGCTGATTTCTGATCGAGATTTATCGCTACAAACCATGACGTATATTATTTTACGGACCGAGTGAACTAAACGATATTCGGCACTTAAATCCGTATCACGTTTCACGACGAACGATCGCTTATCGACATTTTCGAGACAGAATATTACTGCGTGTGGAATGGAACGAACGTGGATGAAAGTGGTGAATAAATGCCCGGCGAAGAAGAGAGAGAAAAGAAACAAGAGAGTTCGATTTCGCGATGCGCCGAAGCGATCACACGTTGACGCGCGAATCATTTCATATTATTTTTCACGAGAAGCCCGTGAATAACATTACGATTTATATATCGTGCGGAGAGCTTTGCACACTGAAGACAACGAGTCTTTAGGGTATGAAAGGGTGATTTAGCGAACAACGTCGATCGCGTTCCCGGGAATTATTAACGACGTGCGCACCTTCCGTTCCAAGTTCCATCACTCCCTTTGAATTCCTTCCTTCGTCAGCGTCTCGTTTCCTTTCCCTTCGTGAAGAACGATCATTTGCGTCGCGATCGTAAGATTCTCGAGGAAAAATTACATTAACCACCGAGTGAGCCCTGGTAATGTTGTCGCGCACGACGGTGGCGACGAGTTCGCTTTATCACCGAATACTCTCAAGTAAAAGCGCGCGGTTTCACATAGGTTGCATAATGTAGGTTTCTTTCATTTTCTCGATAGTCGAGATCAATAGATTACGGAACGATAATAAATCATATCGGTCTCTTGAGGATTATTGTTCCCTGCTTCTTCTATCAATAGTAAATTTAATTTTTTTATATGATTCTGATATTTCTTGGTATTTCTTTTTCTCTCTCTTTCTTTTTTTTATATCGGTTTTATACTGCAGTAGTGAGACGCTATGATTTTTGCTACACAATAGAAAAATACATTATATTTGTGTTAAAAATGTTTCTGTTGAATTTTTATCCGAATGATAATTTAATATAATGTTATTGTGTCATTTGAATATTTTGTGTTAAATTGATATTCAACATTTTTTAGTATTAAAATAACAATTTATATAGGGTAACATAAAAATAGCGTATTCTAAAATATAAATTCTAATATTAATAAAATGTAGGTATGTGAAAACACAAATCGATAAACTAGAAACCTATATCGATCGAAATTGGACCTTTAATGCTTTTAAATAATTTCTATGAAGATTTCTAGAATTTATGTACTAAATATGTTATTTGAACTGCGCGCTAAAATGATTTTACTGTAGCAATTTGATTATGTTTATAAGTTCGAAAAATCATTTCGATGCGCAGTTCAAATAACTACGTATTAAAGGCCAGTTTCACAATTTATAGTTAATTCTTAACGGAGGTTCAGCTTGTTCTTCATTTCTTTCCAATTTTAGAATTGGAAAGAGATAATGAATAAGTTGAACTTCTGTTAAGAATTAATCATAAGTTACCTTAGTATATAAATTCACAGAAATTATTTAAAAACATTAAAAAAACATCCAGCTTCGATCGTATAGGCTTTTAGTTTATTGACTATGTTCTCACATGTACAATCTGAAATAAGATTTTTATTGTTTAAAATATATGTATTTTAATTTAATATATTATAAATGTTAATTTTACCGAAGAAATATGCTGCCACAATTTGTTTCCAAATTATGTCAATTTTACATTTTTTTGTATTAATTATAAGTTTTTACGTAATATTTGTATAACTTTTTAACATAATTCATCCTGTGTTAAATTAACGCAAAGATTTATATAGATGACATGTATGTACACAATGTTTAATATGTCACCTATCTTAATTTTTCACGTCACTTCACAAAAATTTGAGACACGTAAAATATATTAAATTTAACAAATATATTAAACTTTCCAACTGTTCATTTAATATATTTTTTAATTATTAGAGGTTTCTATAAAATTCATATATATTTTTTTATCTGTACAAGTTAATGTTATCCAAATGACAGTTTGCTTTTTTTATATTTGCAGGCTGAGGACCTCTTGGACGACATTCTGTCGTTTGAGGCTGGTTCCTTGGGTGACGGACTGAAAGACGGCCAAGCCGGAAGTCTCACAAATATACCGGAGCTTCAAATTAAACCAGAACCTCTTTTGCTCACCGAGGCAGAGATTCATGCTCTCGCGAAAGATCGGCAGAAAAAGGATAACCACAATATGAGTAAGTCAAGAAACCACTCTCCTCGATTAGATTGCGAAAAATTTATGCATTGCATTTTTTAAATATCAATTTTTTAATTGAAAGAGTTTTTATTTGGGAATTATAATTGAGCTGTAATTATTTTTTTAACATTTAATAACATATTAATTTATGATAACACTTTCATGATTATATTGCATTATATAGCACTTATTAAATATTGATTCTAATTAATTACATAGAGGTAATAAAATTTATGAAATATTCAAATAATTGATTATATATAAGTTTTGATATTCATTTTTCAAGTTTCAAAATTATTATTACTGATCTATTATAAGAATAAAAATGTTGCTTTACTTTTCGTTAAAGAGAGATTATTGACGCTCGTTGCATTATCATATTTAAAATTTCATGTTCGAAATTTATCTTGCGGCATATAGCTTTTGTAATAAGATTGATGTTTTAATCTTGCTTCTTTATACAAGGTGTCGCTTTGAATTGTCACTCGATCGACACTTTGCAAACACTTACTTGTTTGCCCGTGTAGAAATAATTGATAAGCGCTACTGTGTAATTTACACCTCAACAGTAGCAATCGGCGATGTCATGACGTTATTGTTACTGGTATCTACTACACTTATATCAATACATGTTGCCTGCGACATAAGTGGACTATTTAAATGACAATGAAAAAGAGTATTGTTATGTCCCGTGTTGTGTCGTTGCAATAGTCGTGTATTATTATCACAAACGTAGTCAATTAAACTTATGTCTGACTGTTATTTGTTAACGTAAACAATGACGACGACCGAATATAAGCATTGTCGACGTGAATTTAACGAAAATATTTTTATGCTGTTATACTGAAATCATTTTTTAAAATTTAGTTTTAATTTTTGAAAAAAGTAACAACTTTTAATATTTTTTAATAATTTTTTTATACCAAGTGATGCTCTGAATATAAGAATCTAAGAATATAAGAACATAAGAATAATAGAATCTAGTCATTTTTTATCATAATATCTTTATTTATTTATTTTCTTTTAACACTTTATGCAATCTTAGTTTACTAATGATAAAGAAGCTAAACTAATTATTTAAGAGACGCAGATGCACACGTTTGAAACTTATCTTGTTATCAAAAATAATGAAAATTATCTTGTTATCAATATTCTTGTTATCAAAAAAAGAAGAAAAAAAGATTTGCGACACATGATAATATTTTATGGATATGCTTGTACAGTATTTACAAAAACATACTTTCAATTTAATGCACGAACACAACTTAAATGTTTAAAAAATTCAGTGATATATTCATTAATAAATTTTAAAGATGCTCGTTATCATTAGTAATATTAAATTGCTTGTCAATTTAATTTGTGATATTACTTACTGGAACTTCAATTTAGGCAGTTCAGGAAAAATTGATAAATAATCGCAGTTTGCTTGAACTGAAAATTACAAAATTCACACAAAATATTATTAGATACCAAGCTTTGATTGGATATTTTTTTCGCTTATAGGTATTGAAAAATTTAGATATAGGTTGATTTCAAATACGATTTCAAATATAGTTTTAAGATGCTTCATCCTGCAAAAACATTATGATCAATTCCATGAAAAAATGTTAAACATCGGAAATCAGTAGGATCGCTGTTGAAATTCTCATTAAAGTGACGAAATTGGATTATTCCCTATGCGGCGGATGTAAGAAATGATTAAACAATATTCGAACAGTACCGGACTTTTACCGGGCGGCTGCGCTGTCGACTACTATTTTACGATGCGATACGCGTTACGTGCCGAATCGCGCGATTGTGTTCGCGGCGATCCTGTAAATTTGACCGCGCAATCAGTGAGCTTCAATTATCTCGCCTCGCTTTCCGGCGCGGTGGCAATAAAAACTTAGTTGCATGCGCGAATTTTTCGAGTGTGAAAGTGCATACGTATTATAGATATGTTTTACTATATCTAGATTTGTCCTTTTACGAGCAAACGGGTATTGTTATTCTTTTCCCCATTTTGATAAGTTTTGAGTGGCAAATCTAGGTCTAGGTAGATGAGAAATATTCAGACATGTACTTTTTTTTTAGAAGTGTTATTAGATATGTTAATGATGAAATGTTACCATGAAAAAATTAATTTTTGCGTTTTAATTGCATAGTTGAAAAATTTGTATTAAATTTAATATATTAGTGTCCCAAATGATCTACCCAATTCGTGATAATTTAATACAAGATAAATATGTTAGAGAGTAACACAAAAACTTACAATTACGTAAAAAATTCACACAAAAAATATAACATTGACAAATGGCAAACAAATTGTGAAAGTATTCTTTGATAAAATTAACACATTTTTTTCATTTATCATATTTATTATATTTATAAGAATTTAAAATATATTATTTTTATGTTAATTGTTCCCTTATTTATAAATTGTATTATTTTAACACTAGAAGAAATATTGAATATTAATTTCAAAAAGTTCAAATAATATAAACACATTACGTTAAATTAACACTCGGATATTATTAAAAATTCAATACAAAAATTTTAATAAGAACTGGTTTTAACACACATACAAAATATTTTTTCTGTTTTATTTTACTGTGTGTATATCGTTAAAATAATAGTAGATAGAGAAAACAAAAATTTAATTGATTTTTATCTTGGTGTAATTCTAGTTTGTTTGATTTGTAATTGTGATTTCAAGAATAGGAGAGTGTCAACTTAATTACATAATTGTGCAAATTTGTTGCTCAAAAATAAATTACTACGTATATATAAAAATAAAATAATAATTAACACAATTAAAGTTGATTTATTAAAGTTGATTTCTTTAATGAATAATTCGATTTAATGAAAAAGATGCACGTTATTATAGGTATTCTTTAATCTACTGTATGTAGTTTTTTCTAGTTGTAATCTGCTGTTTTTCCAGTACTCTACCTGGCTGTTGTCTCTCGCGATTAAGGCGTCGCTAAAATTGCAAAAAATGGCACGGCGCTCGCAAACGAAACAAGCGGAAATCGTGGGCGGTACTGGGGGCCAATTTTCCGAAAACAATCGAGGACGTAATGAAAGTCCAGTTGGCCGGGGCGGAACGGTGGAATCGGGATCGAATTTGTAAGAGAGAATGGAGAAATAACGACCGCAGAGCACACGCGAGGACATCGGAAATAAAATAGAAATTCTGTAAAAATAGTCGCGCCGTCGCGCCGCTAATTCGCCCTCTCTTTGTCTCCCACTTATCGACTACTATTGTGCATCCCCGCGAGGTGCATTGTCGATTGCACAGCATTCTACGTGCGCTATACGTATAGAGAGACAAAAGAGGTGCTTATCGATGAGAGCCTCGTCTTTTTCTGCGCGATCGATGTGCGTGCAACACGAGTCGATTTACAAATGTGTTTTCCTTTTTTATAGTAATTTGTTTAATCTTTCTCCTTTTTCTCTATCATTAATTACTGCTTTCCCAATCTGTTCCACTCAAAGAACGTGATCAAGCGATTTCATTACCGCTTCAGATTGCATACATTATACGTTCAAAGGATTTGACACTTAAAATTTTTTTTGCGAATCGAATAAAAATGTCGAAATTTTTTCTAAGAAAAAATTGATCTTTAATCTAGTAAATGACGTAATATAAGAGATTTGGAATATTTTATTCAGAGAAAAAAACATAGTAGTGACATATGTATAGATGATGCGTTTTATATGTAAAATTATGGATGTATTACACATATTTTTAATAAAACGAAAAAATTATGAAAAATCATAAAATTTTTCTATATTGCATAAAAGAAAAAACAAAAGTTTAGCATCGATTTAGAGTTTTGTGAGTTAAAATTTCTTTCAATAATTTTTTTTTCCTCTAAATGTATAAGTTCGTATTCGCTGAAGAAGTCTGAACTAAAATGCACATGAAGAAAATCCCGATTTTTATAATCGTAGAACAGAAAGCAAACGGCTCGTTATTTATCCGCTTGTAGTGTTCGTATTGTTCCTGGGGAGGGCAAGTTTGCATTCTCTTTCGTAGGGAAACCCAGGCCAAAGCTGACGAGAGGCTTTTCTCTAATCTTTGCCCGTATCTCGCGGATAATTCCTTCCGGAAACCGGGGTTGGCTGATTGATGAGACTCGTCGTCGTCGATTAGGAAGGCGTGTCTCTTGATTCCGAGTGAAAAGCATAGGTTCGCGCATCTTCCCGACAGAATCGGGTAGGTTCGATCTTCATCGCCATCGTTTGTCCCGTCCCCATCCACATCGATTTTTCAGTCTGCCTCACGCTCCTCTGAATTAACTATCGTAATCTAATCAGCTGGATCAGAGGAAATTCCCTCGCGTCCCTCAATGATGCCTACTCTTCTCTCCCGTCATTCCTCCGCTTCTCGCTCTCTGCTTCTTTTTCTCTTTCTCTCCCTCGAGGCGAATCGAATTCGAGAAAGGAAGTTACAATTTCCTCAAAGTTTTCAAGGCTGCTCCTTCATCTCTTTGCGCGCGTGCGACGAATCTCCTCGATCTTGGTATCTTGTCCTTTATAGCCCTGTTCTATCGTGCCGTTTACAAATATTTGTCTCTGTATGAATCAGCAATTTGCAGAATTTAGTTTAGCATGACGTAGATCTGTGATGCACTTTGAAGTGCTTCAGAATGTAGATCTTATTTAGAATCGATTTTTCCTGAACTATATTTGACTTCCACAAAGTGGAAGAATATTTTCTTGTAGCTTAAAAATTTTATTTCAGAGGAGTCTTTTAATTCAATATTTTTTTTTGTTTCTCAAAGATCAAAATTCAGAATTTTTAAATTTGAAGTCCTAATTATAATTTATTAAATATAATAAATATAATTTCTTATCCATTTTTGTACCTTCAAAAATATCTTGTTCTGGGTAAAATAAATGAAAAATATAAAAAGAGTAACAAGAGCTCTAAAAATTTACTTTCTTGATTTGTATATTATTAGCAAACCGAAAATTAGTTTATCATCTTGTTTTGTAATTTATTACTAAAGAGCGAAATATTTTATTCGTTTTCTGCTAACTTTTGCTTCTGATTCTTGTCGCATCCGGAGTTGATTAATTCCAAAAGAAATAAAATATTTATTGACTTTTGATGAATAAAAAAGCGGAAGAAAATTAATGGACCGTTCCGTGTCTTTCATTCTTATCGATTAATTTCGACATAATGCTTCATTTATGTCATTCATGGGTAGTGATGTCTCTGTTCAATATGCACTTCGACAAATTTACTTTTCCGGTAGCTTATCCCCCTTACAATCGCGATATCGGCACTGTTCACCGATAGCGAGCCAAGCGGCTTGACCTCTCGCACCTCCGTTCGAGAGATACCTGGCTGGAATAATCGATCGAGAACGGGGTCACGTGCCAGCGATAGGGCGATCCAGTTCGTAGTCTTTCCGCAGGGGAGATACGCTATATCCTCCGGAAAGCGCGATATGCTTTCCCGAATAACTTCGATACGAGACGACGATATCTCGGATATATCGAGAGACGGGGCGATTTGACCCTCGACAATTCGCACGCGCGTTCAGGACGACAACGATGTAATTTATTACGATCGAGCAATCGAAGGATACCGCGTTTGCTTCCAATCGTGTCAAGTGGTTGTAAATTCGAGTAGAATATAGTAATAGTCCGTAGTATAGATCTATAGAACTTAGTGTCTAAGGGAATACAGGTAAAATCTATATCTTTGCCATCTTTTTTCTATCAGAATTACAACTAAAAAAGAAAAAATGTGATTGAAAAGGCATATATCACAATACATAAATATTTTATTGTATTGTTTTTATTCTATGGTAATCTATTAAAATATAAATATTTCGCTATTGACATCTTGCGCTCGTAGTGTATGCCTTTTCAATTGTTTTAAGTTTAACCACGTTTTGACTTCTATTGTTTTAAAAAAGAAAGATCCTTTTTCAGTGGTTATTACATAGTAAAAAACATTTTGTTAAAATCGGTTTTTGTTAAATTTTGTTTTTATATTAAATTTTTAGTATTAATTTAACATAATGTGATTGTGTTATTTGAAAGTTTAAATCGATATTTAATAAATCGATATTTAATACTTATTAAAATAACAGAATTTATAAGCAAGTGAACAATTAATCCTTTGAAGTGTATATTTTTTTTCCATCTCATGAATTCCTATAAAATCTTGCAATTCTATGTTTTTTAGGTAACTGATTGCGAATCTGAAATCATATTTAAAAAATTCGAAATAGTGAATTCAAATGGCTGTCATATGGGAATAATTTAGTGCAAATCTGAATGAATATGACTTCCACGTTTTGCACTTCCAGTTTCCGACTTTTTTAGAAAGATAAAAGTCCAAACTTGAAGAGACCTTTCTAAAGTTGCTGGAACAGTGGAATATACATACATATGGTTTATGCGTTATGAATTTATAAAAATGATAAAAATACATTTTTGGGGGATTTCAATGCCTTCTCTCTTAGAAACCTTACATGAGAGACAATCTTTGAGGTCATATTTATATTCAGCGCATTTTATTTACTAAAGAACGATCTTTCATGACAAAAATGCAAAAAACTTTAATCTGCTACTGGGATATTTTATTCATTACATTATAAGTTACATTATATGTGAAAATTAACTCATTTCAATAGGATTTAACTTTCTATATAATTAATAATGCGAAATTCTTAGATGTATAATTTGGGACACATTAGATATATTAAATTTAATACAATTTTTTTAACTATGTGACACAAAATTTTATTATTCCACAGACTTATCGACAATGGTTACAGTATTATCATCATATAAATATTTGATTTTCAACCTTGATAACTGCCGATTGTGGCGATTACTGTCCTCCATTTAGATCAGATAAGATTTCTCGTCTAATATATTAAGGTAATCAGACCAATTCTTTAATAAACACGAGACGAATGCCTTCCAATCAAAAACTCGAATCATTCGTTCTCGCTGACCCCGATCGCACCATTTAGCAGATGAATTAACAGACGATCTATCTATTTATCTATCTCATTTGTCGCGAACGAGCCATGATTGATGTGCACAATTTCCGTTTTCAGTTGAACGACGGCGGCGTTTCAACATCAACGACAGGATCAAGGAGCTCGGCACCCTCCTGCCCAAGACCAATGACCCGTGAGTACGAATCTCTTTTCTTTCACCGCTTCTCCTTCTTCTTCTTCGCTTCTTCCTTGTCCCACGTCACACGCTCGCTTCCTCTCTCGTTCCATCTCTTGGCCATCGCCACCCTGTTCCTCGTAGTCCTCTTATTCTTTGCCTTTGCCTTTTGCACATTCCCCACGGACCATTATTTCCTGTTCGTGACCCTTTACGACGAGTTAGTCCAGGTCAGGTGCTCGAGACGAGAGGCTTTCACCGGAAGTCCATTCTTCGCCCCTTTCACCCTTCTTTCCTTCGTTTTTCCTCCTCTCTCGTTGGCTCCCCATGGTTGCTCGTTCCTCCTTCCTTTACTTCAGCTTTGTTTCCCGTTCACCCTGCCGCGCAAAGCGCCACGCTTTCTCGTTTTAGGATGTCCTTCAACTCGGTGAATGAACGCAAATGCGAGGGAAGAATGACGCCGCGAACCAGAAATACGAGGAGACGAGATTAAAAAACACCAAGTTTGTTGTTTATTCCTCATGTTACTGCGTGTTCCGACAATGCCGGACATACGCGTTCTTGTATCCTACATAAAAGTACATTACAAAAATTAATCTTTTATGGCACTTCACGCATTCTAACTCGAAAAATTTTTCTTTGATATTTAAATTTAGGAAACACATTTTAGGAAATGATATATTTTCTTGGATATATTGTAAAAATGCAATTTAGTGTAATTTAATTGTTTTCGAGTGTTTTATTTAACTACGATTAATGTAAATATCTATTAATGTTAAAAGAAATAAATTATGATTTGTGCATAGTACTTTAATGTTTAATATTTAACATCGTAATAATCTTGGGCACTTCAGTTCTTTTGCGATATTGGTTTTGTTACGATAGGAGATAATTTTAATTTAAACGTACGTCTTATTCTATACATATGTTAATTATTCGCCATTCTATTGAATTGTAGCGTCATAAAAAATCTTATCTATCGTTCGACATTTATGTTTGAAAACATTTATTTAGCTGTAAAATCTTAAGCTTGCTAAATTCTGTCAACATATATACTTTGCTCTTTCCATAATATTAGCCGTAATGTATAATTGATTGTGTGTGTGTGTGTGTGTGTGTGTGTGTGTAATGAAATTTATTTATACTATTCTATAAACTTAATTGATAATTTAGAGTTTAGAATTACAAAATTCTATTATTCCATTCTTTCTATTTCTAATTATTTTTGCAAGTTTAAGATTACAAAAATCTTTTCTGATAACGAGTTAATAACTTTCAGGCAATAAATATATTGCGATACAAATGATCTCAAATGAGTATTTTGAGCGAGAATGTTTCTTCTTAGTCATGCACCACATCGGTGATGGAAGAGACGTTTGTTTTCTTTGCTGTTTTCTATGGGATTCTACGTCGATCAGTTCGTGTCTGACCTGTTTCGGACATGATCCCTGACACGAATTTTCTCGAGACTTCGACACACGATGGACGTATTAACGAGCGATCCTTTTGCATAGAATAGCCGAATGGGTCCGTCGTTCATTTATCAATCCGACGATCGATCCATTTGTCTACGTCAACATCCGACGAACTTAAAAACTCCCTCCTTCGGGTTCGGCATCCTCTTCTCTTGTGCTCCTCATTTCTTTGAATATCGATTCACGAAAAACTGGAAAAATCCGAATAAACTGGTTCGTGGCTAATGTTAATTGCGTAATATTGAACTTTATTAACGATACGAACTCTTTATGCAATGATAAATGTATTTACTTTGACAAATAAGATAAAAATGTATTTACTTTGATTTTGCAGCCAATAATAAAAGAATTATATCATTTTGAGTCATCACTATTAAATTTCTCAGAAAACGCAAAAACTTTTTTTTTAACTTGACAGAAAAATGACTAACGAAGTAATATCGGCCAAAATAATATATTTTTAATTAAATGCCATTTTTGTCATTTTAGCTTCACAATACTTAAAAAAACTAGCCTTTTTTTAAGTTGTGTGTGTGACATAATTTTGATGATTTTTAAAAAATCATTCTTTTTTACGATTTGTAAGATTTTTTTATAAAATTAAGTTAGTTTACTTTTGATGATTGATAGGGTAAAAGTTTACCTAACTTATTCGTAATAATTCATTAGTATAATTTGAAAGTCACGTCTTTTTTATTTTATCATTTTTGAAGTAAAGTAACAGTATAATTTTTTTTTAATTATACCAACTTCCACTTTCCTTGAAGTTATCGTCTGCATTATTATCTGCAATTTTGATTAACTTTAGAAGGAAATAAGAATTCATGGAGACATTATAATCAACACTGAAGAAATTGACTAATTACTAAAAATCCTTTACTTAAAATAATTCTTCATTTTTGTCACCAATTTTTCACGCAAACTTTTCGCGCGAAGGGAGACGCAAAGTTCGTTGTTCATAATTATTGATTTAATACATCGTAATTTACATTATCTGCGCCTGATGAAGGAGAAGCGTACAGAACAGCGTGCGTTCTTTATCTGCCGTCATATTCCCGTCATATTTTTCGACACGTCACTGATAGATGCGATAACGCGAGCACGCTTTGGGATTAACGTGTTCCACGTCTCGAATTTCTCTCTCGATATTTCGGAGCTGACGAGATGAAACTGATGAAAGTTGAATTAATGCGGCTTTACCTCGATTGTGTTTGTCAGCGATAATTTATACTCCGTTTCAATGCCTCTCTGGAATTGTATTTAACGCGCATTTTAAATATCCCGATTGACATTCCGGTCTCGCGCGCATATTCGAACCGCATTGTCCACGCATCTGTGCATCGCGTGCAATATTAGTACGCACATACGTCCTCGATTCACCAAGCGTCTTTTATCTAATGACGCTCATTACATCGATAAGACAATGGCGTGCAGTCGCTGCAAACGTGTGATAACGCTTCTGCCTATCGCGAGTGATAAAGATAAATTGTTAACCGTGTATCAAGTACATATTGCACAATTTTCTTCACGGGTGCGAGTTTACTTGAAAAAAATTTGATATGAATCAAGCAGATATAAGACAAATATTTTTAATAAAGATAGAGATAATTCAATGAATTTATAATCTTTTTATTGTAAATAATATATATATAAAACATGTTAGAAATCCAACTCTTAATTACGTATTGTTAATTATTATTAATCTTCATTGTAATTCACAAAAGAAACGCAGTTTTAAATTTAACATATTTCATGTGTTCTAAACAGTCGACACAAATTTTTGTGTTAATTTGTAACACAAGATGAGTATGTTACAAAGTAGCACAAATGTTATGTAAAAAAAATTGAGGTTACTGATTCATATTTATGGTCAAGGCTGTAATTCTTAAATATAAACTTTCATTCTTTAGACATATTCAACTATATATGCAATAAAAATAATTGTACAATTGTGGGAAAACTTAGTTTTATTTTTCTCAAAGTCGCGGCTGCCAAAATTTGTTCGTGCTAATCGTATCCAGCAAGGAAGGGAGAGTAAATGTCAGTAATAACGCGCGTTAGAACTTCTCGTGAGTGTCTAAGCGTCTTCTCTGTAACGTCTTTCTCCTGTAGGGTTTTAGTTTCGGCTTTGGCCGGGGACGATATCAAGCAGAACGCGGGTAAACTCAGCGCGATAGCGCGCCTGCGATAACGAAGTAGAGCCCTGGTTCTAAAGACACCGGCAAACACGGCACAGATTTCTCTTCGTCCCTTCCTCCGGTGCTAGTGTCTCCGTTCATCGTGTTCAAGTTTCGGAATAGTCCTCGTTTCCTACGAAACGCCCCGAATCTTCGCCACCCTCACGTTCCTTACGTCGTTCCTCATTAAGGCGAGCGATGGAGGGAAACCCCGTCGATGCACTTGGCTGTTTATTGTTCACCGTGCAAACTCGTTTCTGACGCGCGTGCAAGTACGAAAACCACGCGCGACTCGTGAAGGAGGCCTGAACGCGCCGCCGATGTCATTCCGTCTCTGATGAAGCGCGGAATGTTTAACTATTCGGTCGCATGTTCCTGTTAACAATAATGAAACGGTAATTGAATCTGCGAAACTTGCACGACGCTGTGTTGAAACAGTTCTTTAGCTAACTAAATAATGGTCCACATTTTTGCCGTATGTTCGGCGTTTATCCAATATATGAAGGTTGCTTTTGATGTCAACAAATACATGAAGATTAAATTGCTACATATATGATAGATACCGGTTCTTACTTAAAAAATGACATACTTAAAAAGTTTTATTTTGGAACTGTTATGAATAGGTCAAATAAACACTACGTATCGATCATCAAAAGTAAACTAAGTCAGTCAATTTTTATTAAAATTATTAAAATTGTTACAATTTAAAAAGGATAATTCATAAAAATATCATCAAAATCGTCACAATTCAAAGAGTAATTAAAAAAAAGTTATCAAACTCAAAAAGAGTAGTGTTAGAGTATTTTAAGGATTGTGAAATAAAAATGATAAAAATGATATTTGATCATGTTAAGAATATATTCTTTTTCTCCCCCCCCCCTCTCTCTCTCTCTCTATATATATAAAACTTGATTATTTTATAACTTTTTGTCAAATAAAAAGCAACTTTTCGCCTTTTTTGGGAAACTTAATGTTTTGAGTTATGTCACTTTTGAAACAAAGCAGCGCAGCGATATGTATTGTATGAGAATACAGAGAAAGTACCTCGCATTAAAATTTATTGATTAAAAAGTTATCGTAGTTGTACGATGGATCCAATTATAAGTGTTCGGGAGCAAAAGTTGGCAAAATTCGCATTGGTTTTGTTGAAACTACATGCAATGGCTCAGAATGTTAACTCGCATTAACTTGAAACACGGCAACAGAATTCCCATTGAATTTAGTAAATCCGTAAATCGCGAACAATTCAGCAAATTCACCGTTGAAAAATATAAGCGCGCTTCTCTCTTAGATGAAATTAATAAAACATTGAATTTTTTTTTCGATGTAGTAAACGTGTTTACGGAGAAATGCAGTTCGCAAGCTCTCGGGTTCAAGTACGCAAACCCACACGGCCGCAAATTCGCTCGTCGTGAAATTGTATGGAGCATGACGACGCCTCACGTGGAAAAGTGATGCTTTATGCAATATACCGGCGGCTGTTTGGTTTCGGAGTTTGCTCGGCAGGCGCAAAATCTCGCGAGTCATGCAGCGACGCGCCCATTCGCGATCCGCGATCGCGCGTGAATTTAATTACAGTTTTGTCGAGGCAATGTAAATTATTAGCAGCATCACGAGAGCATTCGCGCTGTTACAAGAAACGTGGACCATTTTACCGCGAAGCGTAAAATAGTTGATAATTATTAATTATTTGTAGTTGTGCTGTTTTTGTAATTTACTATTTCATGTTCTGTAGTTTTATTTTAAATTGTTTTATGTGTGCTTTACGCAGTTGGAAAATTTGTTAAATTTAACACATTTCACTCAATGGTTCATTCAAGTTTTTATGTTAATTTAACACAAGATAAATATCTGTTAGAAATTAATACAAACTTTATGTAAAAATTAATATAAAAATGTAACACTGACACAATTTGGAAATATTCTTTAATAAAATTAATACTTATAAGTTAAATTAACACGCATCTTATTTATTTATCTTAGAATTTATATTTTAAAACTGTATTATTATCATCATTATTGTTATTTGTTCATAAATTATATTATTTTAATCTTAAAAAATGTCAGTTGAATATCAGTTCAATACAAAATAAACTGAATAATAATTATTCAAATTATATTACGTTACCATCAGATATGTTAAAAATTTAACACAAAGGTTTAACAGAAACTTGTAACGCAAATACAAGATGCTTTTTACTGTGTATGAGAGTACACTGAGAAAAAAATATAATCAATTTTAATAAATATTTAGTTCAATATTGCCAACTAAATATTTACTTACTATTGTATAAATAAATATTCGTTCAGTAAAATGAATGATTGTTAAATCAAATTAATGTTTCTTGTAGCAAATGAATAAATGTTTTTATATTTAATAAATATTTAGTTGGCAGTATTCAACTAAATATTTATTAAAATTGACTATATTTTCTCTCAGTGTATAAATTTCGAGACTAAATAATTTTCACATGTTAAAAAAACCTTTATTTAATATTTTATTTTCTTGTGTATTGTTACGCCCATGTATCGCTCGTTTTTATTTGTTTCAAATTAATTTGAAGATACTCTTTTTCTTTTGCAAAAAATAGACTTACGAAAGTACGCAGACTGTTGTCTTATTGTTAGTTTCCCTTCCACATTCTCGATTTTGGTAGCACTTTTTGATTGCATTTAAGAGTGCAATACTCACACCATGGTTCAATCCTCCCGGTTTTCTCGTAAGATAAAGCGGAGGATTATAGTTTCTCGAGGGAGCATTCATCGTGGAGTCCACGAAGGATGGATGTATCAGAGACATGACGAATGCCATCTTATCATAGGCTTTCTATTCGGCGTCTCGCTTTCCCTTTTGCAAATGCCGGCAATTTGCGATTTTTCGGGCGATAAATTGACGAAACGATTTCGTCGTAAATCAACGGCGTGGCGGAAGGAAAAAAAGTGTGAGTAACGACGAAAATCCGTGCGTGTTGTTCCCGAGTTTTGCATGGGAATATTTAAATCACGACGGAGAACTCTTATGGCGAATCTCCGGTGTCCGTCACGAGAAATTTCATATTGCGTCGCATCGCGTCAACAGTTTTCGCTAAACCTTCGAATATTTATCACAACGCGGTGTAAGATTGACAAAACAAATGAGCTATCGATATCAATGTCAAAAAAAAAGCGTGATTAATGATCATATCGGAATGGCATATCTGTGAAAGATAATCTAATTTTTAGATAATCTAATTTTTTCCAGCTATAGTTTAATTACAAATACTGATTTGTATTATCGCGAAAATTACATAGTTTACGGATAATATCTGTACCTTATCAAATATATCTTATCTCTTGAACATGTTATTGATCATTTATGAACAATACTGTTTTGTTTTTCAGAATAAAAAATGCAAAACCTGCAGTTACGATCTATACTTTCTTTTTCCAATCTCGACATTCTAATACGATTCATATCAAATATTCTGTAAAAGTGGATACATACTTGTTGCGTATCCGTATATCGTATCATCGTTTCGTAAAATTGTGTTTTAATAATGTCACAGTAAAAATTATTTTGTACTTGTATTAAAATTGGTTTGTCTTAAAATTTATTTCTAACATATTCGAGTGTTATTTTAATATAATATTTTATTTATTTTTATTATTATGTTATTTTGAGTATTTTGTATCAAATTGATATTTAACATTTTTTAATGTTAAAATAACACAATTTATAATAAATGAACAAAGAATAAAAATAATGTAATTCCAAATCAAATTTTAAGGTAAATAAATATGTGTATTAATTTTACTTATAAGTGTTAATTTTATTTAAAAAAATGTGTTTCTACAATTTGTATCTACATTGTGTCAAAATTTAATGTTTTATATGTTAATTTTTACATAATTCAAATTCTAAAATAAGTGAATAAAAGATTAGTATTAATTTTATTTATTTATTAGGTGTTGGAATTAATTCGTAGCGTTTTTTAATGAAAGAATGTTATTTATTTCACATGAGCATTAAAAAATACATTAATGAAAGTACTTCCCATCACTTGTAAAACGCTACGAATTAATTCCAACACCTAATATATTAATTTTCTTGAAGAAATATGCTTTCACAATTTATTTAAATTATGTCAAGGTGTTACATTTTTTTCTGTCAATTTTTACATGTATTAAATTAACACAAAAATTTGTGTGAACTGTTTAGAACATATAAAATGTATTGCATTTTAGGAATTTTTCAACTGCGTAAGATACACCGTGTCATATCATTGCATTGATACGCAACAAGTCTGTATCCACTTTAATATACATTCAATATTCGAAATTTATGTGCAAAGTGAACGAGAACGTATGCTACATTTTTCAAGCCATTTCTGACGCCGTCCAGTGTCAAATATTACAACGTGTTTCTAAAGAAATGCGCACTTTCTCTGGCAATTCTAAATTTTTCTTACTCTTACGTTTTTATTCGCGAGCCGTTCGCCGAGCATTCCTCACACTGGCGTTGCAAGATTGTCCGCGCTGGATCATCGCGAATGTCTCTTGCGAGCAAAGAGACACCTCCGAGATGCTATTTTCTGCTTCTCGTTTCTGCATACGCAGAATGCTCCTCATGAATTTTTCGAGAGCGCCACTGTGAGAAATTCTCCAGGTTAACGACAAATCGCCGTATCATGCGAAGGCGCGAGACACAAGGGATGTGCCGAGAAAGAAAAAAGAAGAGAAAAAAAGGAAAAAGTGCGAAGAATACAAGAACGCGGCCCATGTTATGGAGATTCTTCGAGACTTCATTGCTTACGTCCCTCGTCGAGAAATCGGTCCCCGTCCGTCTGATATTCCGCGCGAACTCCCGCGCGGAATTCCATCTCGAAGGTGGCCCTCGAAACGTCGATGGCGGCCGGGGTGATTCTCAGAGACGATAATATCAGTCGTATTACGGTTGAAGAATTTGAGAATCTCCTGATGAAACACCCTATCTCAAACACGGTTCTGACGAAATAATAATCGCGACGTCTGAGGTTTCAAGTAGCCTGGTGGGTCTCTTTCCGTCACTCTCCTTTTTATTAGGGGCGTTATCACCTTTTTATGTTTCTCTGAGAGAAGTCGAGGAAAAAAATTGAAAACGTGAGCTCAACGTTCTCACGAATCTCTCTTATCACTGTTCTTTATACAACCTGTACCGAGAAATCACAGGCATATCAACTCTTCGATGCTACTGACGATAGATGTAAGGGAGATTGCAAGAACGTTAAGAATACAAAATACATATCTTATTGATTGAAATATCTTGAGCAAAAATTATTCGTTTTTTTATTAATAAATTATACAGTTTGATATTAATTAATCCTCCGGAGCTGACGACAAAATCTGTAAAACAGTTATTGAGTTACGCTTAGTCTAAGAAACCTACTTAATTTATATTGATATTCAATATTTTTTAATATTAAAATAACATAATTCATGAACAAACATAAAAATAACATAATTCATGAAAAAACAAAAATAATGTAATCTCAAAACGTAAATTCTAAGATAAAAGATGAATCAATTTTACATATATACATGTAAAATTATTGAAGAAATATGCTGAAAGGCTAGTTAATTAAATTCGAAAAAACAAAATGACATAATTTGTATAAAAATGGATGTGTGTGTACACTCTAAAAAATATCAGTATAAATTTAACACTACGCAATGTCTATATAATTCTCACTGTGTTGGTGTTGATATAAATACTAACATGATGTAGATTTAGCATCGTGAGTGAGAATTTAACACTATGGTTTCAAATCCACAGTGTTAAATCTAATACCATATTTTTAGAGTGCATATATGGCGTTTATAATTTTTCCTTAAATTTAATGAATGCTGCAAATGACGTCGTTTGGTTCTTTCTTTGCAGATATTATGAGATTGTTAGGGACGTTAGACCAAACAAGGGTACAATTCTCAAGTCGTCGGTGGAGTATATAAAACTGTTGAAAAACGAGCTCACGAGGATGAAGCAAAACGAGCTCAGGCATAAACAATTGGAGCATCAGAATCGCAGATTACTTCTACGTGTGCAGGAACTCGAGCTGCAAGCGAAAGCACACGGTCTTCCGGTTACTGACTTTAACTGGGCGTCTACTTCCGCCATGCTTAACACCTTTCCGAGGAGTAAACTCGAGCAACGAAAGGTAAGTATAAAATCCTTTCCCATCCGATCCGCATCTCGTTATATCCGCTGCTTCGAATATACATCATTGCATCATTCTATTCATCGTGTCAAGTTTTATGTTTAATTTCCATAATAATTTATTTGCATTTGATTTATTTCCTTCTATCCGTTATCTTTTAACAATAAACCATGTTCAACACTTTAATACTTTGACTACTGCTAAGTCGATTTTGGTATTGAATTTAATAAATATAATGTTTTATTTGATTTTGTTGTTTTAATACTTTATTTGTTTTCTTAATATATTGGTATATCTCGTTTTTAGATTGAGTTATTCCACTTTTCGATAAAAATTTCAACTTACTCTCTTACTCTCTTAGAGTTGGTTGTTCCATCTTCGGATAAACTATGATAATTTATATACTGGATAAACAAAAGAATATATAAAAGAATAAGAGCATAAGAGAGCATAAGAATAAGATGGCCTGTTTTTACAGTATGTGATTAACTACAGTATGTAATTGAACTTATTGAAGGTTACCAAGAGATTCATTAATGAAATTCATTCATTAATTTCTTGGTAACCTTTCATCTTTAAGTAACCATAGATTGTGAAAACGAGGCTAAGATAGTGAGCTGAAGTTTACTGAATAACTCAGACTAATTCTTTTGTTTATCTATTAGATAACATGGCAGTCAAAGTGTTAAATAAATTTTGTTAATGTTTCATTATATTTTCTTTTATATATATTATAATTATAATATATTTTTAAATATATTTTATATATTTTTAACCCATTTTTTATTTCTTTATGAGCGTGCATATTTTCAATATTTTTGTATATTACATAACTTTAGTAAGTAAATAACAAGCGAATTATTTTTCAAGTAGAGAGAAAATTTTTCCTCTTAATATACGAATATTATCGTTAATTTCAGTCAGTTTTATTAAGTATAGTTTCGTAACAGCGAGTCATTTAATTTTAATGCGACTGTCGCGCAATTGATTTTCGATGCTATAGCGACGGCATCAAATGTAACGATCGATTCGATCCTTGATCTGAATAAACCTCCCGCTCGTTCGCCAGAGTAGTTTCATAATGCGTGCATCTGTTCTGAGAGAGAAAGAGAGACAAAGGCGAATAGCTGTTTGCTTCGCTCGCGATCTCTCTTTCTCGCATTCGTTTATCGGTGCTCTCGTACACGAGTGCGGTAGGCAATGCCGTCTTTTGACAGCGACAGTAATGATTTTATTACGCAACCGGAGGTCGATTCGAAGTTGTCCGTATGTTTGCATAATGAGAAATATTTTCTCATTTACGTACAATTGACGTATCGTTCTGTGCCTCGAGCGACTTTCATTCAATGACGATCTCTCAAGCACCGTTCGATCTCTTGACGAAGCGATTGCAGGACACCATGAGTCTTGTAGACACCTTTCGAAATTTTCGTTCGCACTTGAACATGACAATTTGTAGCATCTCATGTAAGCATTATACAATTTTTCAATTTTACACGTACATACACAGTTTCACACTTTGAGTAATAATTGTAATAATTTTCACAAAAAAGATGAACTTTTCTATCACAATTATATAATAAAAACAATTTTTATTATAATTGTAATAAAAATAAAAATAACTATTTTTATTATAATTATATTAATTTAATTTAATTATCTTATTGTAATTATTATAATTTCCATTTAAAAGAGACTGACTATTTTTTGCTTCGTTATTCATTAATATTATTCGAAGTGTGTTAATTTTTCGATATATACATAGCAACTGACATCCCACACATCTGGCAATTTTATATATATACCTATATTAGTAGTGGATTATTGTTCCGAATAATAAATTGCGGCTTATCGCAGTCTGGTCGACGTATAAATCGCCCTCGTTTGTTTTGCTTGTCATTACGATGTCGCTCCGAGCGAAGAAGGCGAATTTTTGGGAGATAGCCGTCGGCATTGATCGCCGTCACCGTTGCTCTTTAAGACGCCCGATCACGGAGATATCTTGTGAGATTAGCGCGGCAAAAGTTACCGTTGAATTAGTGGACCAGATAAAGTCGCGCGCGCACGTACGAGGTTTGACATGCGCAGCTTCGTGATGCGATTAAGAACTCTTCAAGTTCCGATAACGACGCGCTTCGACGACGATAGATCTTTGACAGATCTGGGCTTCTTAAAGAGGCCACGTCATTAAGGGAATACGGACAGAGAGAAAGAGAAGTTATTAACATTTTTATTACATCCGTTACTGACAGCGGCGCAACTGACGTCCGCCCATATCCGCGAAACTTTTAATAAGTCTTTTTTTTATTCCTGCACTCTCTGTGAGCTGGTGCACACAGTGTAATAAATTGAAGTGAAGCAAACATATATTTATTCCACTTTAACTTATTGCATCGTGTGCACCAATTTTATTCATTTTATATGTGACGGTACGTAGAAAAGGATGATTGTTGTGTGCATTGACGTTATTATAATTTACTTTCACGCTCATCGCACTTTTGGAAACATTCGGAGTCGCACGCTGCGACGCGCGAGATAACGAAGGAGACACGAGATGACGTACCGAGAGAAGGATGAGTTAAATTATTGTTCGAGATAAAGTTCCGTCGGGGCGTAAGTAGTCTGACAAGCAGCTTCCTCGCGGTTAGAGAAATTTAAACATTGATAACGTCCCGCACCGCGATTCGCGCGACGAGTTCCGACTGAGGCGAGAGAAGTGTCTCGCGTATTGCACAGAGGAATTTTACCACGACACTTAACCGTCGCACTGGTTTGCTTAACGTTAATTTCGTCCCTCGATTTATCTTACGCGAAATGTAAACGATGTCGTACAAATGCGCCTCAGATAACGATGAATTATTTTTAGAAAAAACGCAAAGATGGAATATGTATATTTTGAAATAATAATATACATAAGATATATAGTGGATTATCTCTGGCAACGATATCACTAATCCGTCGAGCAATGAACTTATTCGTGTGAATTATTTAAGTACTTGATTTATTAAGTTCCTTTATAACACTTCCTTCTGACACTTCAAGCCATTCTTTTGCTTTCAAGTTAAAATAATAATTATTTAGATTCAGTAACTGCTACTGAATTTGAAAAATTATTATTAAAAAAACATTGTTATAGATATTTAAATAATTTGAAAAAAATATCAATTTTGAAAAAGTGTTTCCAAACTTTTGATTTGATGTGTAAAAGTAGAGATGTTATTATCAGATTCAAAAAAATAAATCAAGCATAGATAATTTACGAATGAAGAATTATTAAAAAACATTTTATTGTTCTGGATATTTAAGTAAGTATGTAGTGCTAAAAATATCAATTTTTAGAAGGTGTTTGCACTTTTAGCATGGAATGTATATTCGGACTTCTTAATTCGTTATTTTATGTTGAAACGAAACGTTACAGTTTGCGAAAAATGGTTCTTACTTTGGCAATGAATTATTTCTGTTAGAGAAGGCACAGTACGCGCAAAGGATTTATGCAATGCTTCGTTTCGAGATTGTATAATTGCAAACGTAATTGCACACGTTAAATCCACACGCGCCTGAATGTCGTGCAAAATATTTACTTTTACCACCGGCATCGTGCGTACGTCCGCGGGTGCGCAGTCCTTATCGTCCCGTTTGCCTCTTATCGTACGTGCTACCTCACGCGAGACTTATACCTTTTATCTCGCATCTCCGCGCGTATATTTTCGCGAGAAGAACACGGCTGCGCGCCACTCTGACGTTGGGACAAAGGATAATCGCCGAATGAGCTGTAACGTCAGAAACCACGTTGCGCAACAAGCGCGCTGCGGCATTTTTTCATGCAAATTTAACGCCCTCCGCGCCGTTCGAGTACACGGCGGTTATGTAAATAGGTGCTTGCGATCACTTCGCGGAATACCGCGTCAAATATGAAATCACACGAAACGTGGTCGCCGAAACCAGAGATCTGTATTATTAAAACAGATAAAAAACACATTCTGCGGCTTTCTCTTTCTTCAAAATTGTGTCATTATTTATATATATATATATATATATATATATATACCAAATTATAGAAATTAACAAGATTAATAGGACCGTCACATAAAAAAAAATAATTTGATTAAAAGCCGATAGGAATCAAACATATCTTGGCGAGTAAAATAAATAATAATTAATTAAATTTACCTTTAGTTAATTATTGAATCATCATCACGATTGAGTCCTGCACAATTTCTTTTTTTTAATACTAGTAACACTTAAATAATAATCTCTATCCTTTCCTTTTTATTAATACACAATTAATATAAATACTTTTAAAAAATATTAAAGTATATATGTAAGAATCACACTTAATTTTTATATATTTTTGTAGAACTACTTACTTGTAGAAGTGTTGAAAATTAACCTGACTACGAATGACTTATTGTAAGTAATAAAAGATCGGAAAATTATTCTATGTACTTGATATTTTGATTCAATTTCGAAGTATCTAAAATAATTATAGGGTGAAGCTGTTCTTGTAAAAGTCGAAATATAGAATAAATTTTTTTGTACAAATATTTTCAATAATTTTTTTAAGTAGTAAAATTAATGTATTATTTGAACTTTTATTTCATTATTTTGAAATATACCAAATCCAGACTGATATAGAAATAGCGATGAATAGTCATTGGACAAATTAAGTAAATTGTGATAAAGAACACGCATATTTAACGTATATTCAAATAACTTGATTTCTTCAAAAATAGATTCTATAATAAAACATTTTATTCTATATGTCGACTTACATACTTTTACGTAAGAAGTTACCTCCCAATTGTATTATCTTTCCTGTATATATAAAATGTATATATTAAAAAATTGAAAAATAACGTCACGCTCTCTACCGCATTTGACGAGATCGATTCTTTAAATTTGAATTAGTGTTAGTCACAGTCGATAGAAATTATATGAATCAATTTATAAAAATCTTCAAGAAACGTGTTTTACAAATGTTGTACTAAATTTAACTTTGTTCTGTACTTTCTTTTATTTGATATTATACGGTGCAATACGAATGAGCCTCGTTGGACATAATTCATACAAATTCTCGGTGTAGCAAAGACCGACAAGTAATCCGACGAATTAGTTACATCTATAACATAACGGCAGGCGAATTGAATCAAAGTCGTTTGCGCCTGAAATGCGATTGGAAATTAATTCTGGTTCTAGTAAGCCGACCTGTCTGTGACTTTGCAAAGTTACCACCGGAGTTAACTGCGCCTGGCAGAGAAACAGCTTCAATCAGCTTACTTCGATAGTGTACAGAGATAATGTAGACGGTTAAGCTCTGATAATATCAAATATTGAATTTCTCAAATCATTTAAAGTCAAAAGGAAGTGATCAATCTTATGTTTCTAATTCTTTTTATTGTCCTGTTATAGAAATCTAATACTGAAAGCTAGTGATTAATTATATATTTTGAGTATTAAAAACACTTATTCACTACTTTTAACTTTCCTCTGCAATCATATGTTTACTCTCTTCGTTTGCAATCTGGGTCTTTTTTGTCCAGTTCAAACTTTTTTTACTGTTCTACTCTATACTAAAAATTTATTTACTTTCAAAAAATTTAGGATTATTTGTTAATATCTTTATTGCATTACAAAAATATAATTTAACTTAAAATGTTAAAACCTTTATTTAATAAAAACTGAAATTTGAGCAAAAATAGGGGCGAAATTTCGTTTGCGTCAAGAAAAAGTCAGATTGCGGTCAAAAGATTTAAAATAAATAATTTTCAATATTAAATAGATCAGTATTAAATTAGATTTCTATAAGGAGTTTTATTGAAAACTACATCTTATCATACTTAATTTTCTTATTTATTACTCTGAGAAAAAAAAATTTTAATAAATGTTCGTTTGAATATTTAACATTTGAATATTTAACATCATAAATCAATATTTAATAAATAAAAAAATAATATAATTAAATAAAATTAATTATTCTTGTATCAAATAAACATATGTTTACATTTAATAAATGTTCAGCTAATACTATTCAGTCAAATATTTATTAAAAGTTAGTATATTTTTCTATCACTGTATATCTTACATTTTTAAGACTGATTGCTTAATTAAACGAATACCGAACTTTTTTTTTGAATATTTTTATCTAACAGCTTTCGATTGAGACTCTCTACATATTTATCGTTCATTTTGTCACAAATGTCATCATATCTTGTCATATACACAAATAAATAGCAATAAACGTTCAATATTGCTTGCACGTAAATTCATCTTCTGCATCGCATATTATTAATCAATGATGAATGTGAAATGTAAGCTCATTATCCATTTCCGCTTTCACTTGCGATGACTTCATCGGCACACTGATCCTACACTTTCATGAAAGATTGACAGTACAAACACCCCTATTTTTACAATGGATTTCCAACGTATCCGTTCCTATACACTTTTCGTGGATCTCACATTCGGAAATACTCATCGGATTCTCATCTTTCCTGTCACGCCTCGCATCCCATCCAAGTTCAGGCCCGATTATCCGAGTTCGAGTTGGCACTCGGTACGTTTTACAGGACGTCGAATGTTTTTTCTGCCGTAGATGCCGGATCTGACGGTGACGGAGGAAGCGACGAGTCTGAGCATGTCGCATCTCGAGGACCTCATGGAGGACGACACCAGCGGCCCAGTGCATAGTGGCGACCCGATGCTGTCGTCGCCGCACCTGCCGCCGTTGAGCCCACCTGCGACCGGCTGTCACCACGGCTTAACCGACGAAGACACCCTCGGCAGCCTGGCGGTGACCACGTCGAACTCCTCGTCCGACATGGATATCGTCGCGTAGTTGAAAACCACCGTTGTCCATCAGCCTCGCGGGCGATCGAAGTCGACTCTCGAAACTTGGTCGCGTTGGATATTTTCCGATCATTCGCTCGACCGAGGTGATCGATTTATATTTGTAGAGAAAAAGAAAAAAGAGAGGAATGGTATAGGACGTGATGTGCGAAACGGAAAGAGAAAGAAATGGCACAGAATGTGATGTACGAAATGCGACTTAAAGGCAGCAGGCTGTTGCGAAGTCGTAGATTCTCATCATGGAGGGATGAAAAGAGAATTCACTCGCGGCATCAATTGGATTTTATTGGAGTCACCGCACTCTGATGCAGATTTATCTAAAACTAGTCATCGACTTACGGTCGGGAAGGAGGATTGGCAAAGGAAATGAAGAAAAATAAGCGTGAGCCGGATGTTGCTTGCCGTGAAGAGGATTAAAGGAGATCGTTCCGAATGTTGCGAATCAATCCATTAGGCAATTTTTGAGAAAGAAATATTGATGATCCTTTTAAATTCCGACGACTTGGTCCAATACGAATAAAGATAATTATATAGACGAACCTAGAAGACTGGAAACCACGGTTAAAATGTTCCCATGGGGATGTCACAATAGTCGGCACACCATTGATTGCGAATATATACTCATCGGATCTTAAAAACCTGCCAATTATCACAACATTTGGTCCCCATAAATCACCAAGCACATATCTAGTGATTACTTTTGCAATATTACCTCCCCTTCTTCCCTTTCCTCGGTCATCTAATGTTAATGACCGGTTTGGATATCTCTTATTAACTATGGGTAGCGCTTTCGGAGATCAATTTGGATTTCAAGCTGGGAAACCACCGAGAAGGTGGCAGAAAAAATTGCTGCGGCGAGAATGTGTCAAGTTCGCGTTTCGCATCCTTGGGAGATCAGACGAACGTTTCTCGGGTTGACGACAAGAACTCAAGAGGCGAGACATCGGGCGTTTTCGGTCGGTCGGGCCGGCCGACTTCGGGGTCTCTTCAAGTGGCGGTGAAAGTCGTCATTGTCGGACGACGATGAAGAGTAGTTCAGGGTCGTTCCAATTGCGAGGAACGGAGGGCTCCCTGTCACGATTCTACGAACGGCTGGCCGTTACACGGATGGAATGCGTGACGTCTTAGCATTATATATTATGTCAGTGCCACGAAGGACGTGCTCCTGCTGCGCTTCAAGACGAGCCTAAACGTTCGCGCGAGTTGCTGTCGTCCCATCAGCGATGTCACGTTATATCGCTCGGACGATGACTTCGGGATCATTGACGAAGGACGAGAACGACTTATTCGTAAAAGTGTTAACTGTAATAGTAGTTCACTATATGATATTACTTAATCGTCGAGAAATTATTTTCATAAGTTGCGAGCGTGTTCACGAAACGTGCCGAGAAGATAGAATTCCGATATGGAATATTTTTAATAAAAGAGTTTCCGAGATTTTCTCCCGATATCTTCGACAGACGAAATCGGTGAAATGTACAATTGCACGGTATAATGTTGCTTTTGGTAAAGTTATATAAAGTTATGAAATACGAAGTCTGCTGAGAAGACAGCTTGAGAATAGTTAAGAATGAATTTCAGGCGTAAGCTCCATTACGCGCGAAAAATATTCCAACTGCGAAATGAAGAAGTGGAATATTGACTGCAGCGTTTTAGGTTCGATTTATTAATTTTAATTTTCGATTTATTAAACGTAGCAATAATATCCAAGTGCCTTCATAAAAAGAGTCAAAGAAGATATTTTCGGAAATATGAAACCCTTCGATTTCAGTATTACAACGCGCATACGTTTATAAAAAAAAAGCAATATCAAGATTTCTTCACGTACATATAGGGATTTATTAATGATCATCTTGGCAGCAAATTTTAAAATTTTGTATAAATTCATATTTTTTACTCTTAATTGATATGACCTTTCTTTATTACATACGATGTATCAAAGGATCATCAGTGACCGCAATTCATTTCACGCTGAAGTAAATACAAACTTTGAATGTATTTGTCATATTTTTGTATTCAAATGACTTAAAAAAAGTTAAAAATAATAATGCTTTTATCTTGAAAAATTAACATACTTAAAAACCTATTTAAATAAGAATCTAAAGATTTTAGTCAATATTAAATGTTTCAGCTGTTAGTATTTTTATTGAGTTAATAGCTGAACAAAATCAATAATTTTAATCTCGGAAATAATAAAAATTACACAAGCTGGAGTCACTAATGATCTTAAATATCAGTTAAGAGTTAAAACTATTATTCCGACGAAATTTCCATTTACATAATCACATCTTTTCTTGCCATTATTATTTCATAAACGACATTTTCCATATAGTCGAAATATGATGATTAGAAAAAAAAACCAGCATTGATATCATAGCTGAAGTGATAAACTATCAAAACAAAGTTCATGATAAAATCCCTTCGCTTCATCCTAAAAATAAACGATCATCCGTCGTGAAAGTGTATTGAACCGATAATCTGAGCGTCCGCGAATGTGAAAGTAGGAGAGGAAGAGAGAGAGAGAGAGAGAGAGAGAGAGAGAGAGAGAGAGAGAGAGAATCACGCGATCTGCCATTAATCGTCCGTCCACGACAAAGGAGGATGTCGACGTCGATATCAGAACGACGTCGATTCTGGCAGAGACTTGCAACGGATGAGCGAGTACTATGTCCAAGTTCGTTATAAAGTTTGCTGATAATTATTGTCTCCGGTAGTGTGCACGTCGAGCCATGTCTCGTATGCTGCTTGCAGCACACGACGGCTTTTGTGTGACGGGCCTTGATTTCACCGCCTGCCCTGTTTCGCTTTGCGTTCGTCGGCTTGTAACCCACATCGACCGATCTACGTCGCCTCGAGCCAAGATCGATGATTACTCGATCGTGGACGATTACTACTATCGATAAATCGTCAGCGGTTTGTTACGAAAGACAGTAATTAAGGTATCACCTATTTTCCGAGAGAGACAGAGAGGGAGGGAGGGAGAGAGAGAGAGAGAGAGAGAGAGAGAGAGTTCGAGTAGTCACGAAGTAGATCATTGAAAAAAAAAACAGACATTTTTCGTATATTCAAATCGAGTTATATATACAAGGTGGGTTTTTTTTAAATTCTAAAAGATTTTAAGGAGTAATTCCTTACATTAATTCAAGATAGAAACTTCATATCATCATATGTCTATGACTTTGTTAGTTTCAAATATGAATGTCAAAGTTGAAAAAAAATTGATTTTTTTCAAAAATTTCGAAAACTACTCAGATTATTTCATATACTTTATATACATAAGATGCCATCAAAATAACGATAAATAACAAATAGTTTTCGAGATTTTTAAAGAAAATGAAATTTTTCCCTCAATTGTAATATCCTATATCGTTAAACAATAAGTTATTTTAGACATATAAAGTTTCCGTCTTGAATTAATATAAAGAATTATCCCTTAAATCATTTACAATACTTAAGGACTACACTGCATATTAAACATGAATTTAGCACTTATTATAATCAAATTAATTTTCACAATAGAGAGATTAAGAAACAGGAATTTAATCACACACATAGCACATTTTTCTAGTATGTTTGAATCTAAAATTAAACAAAATGTTATTTTAGTAAAAGTACTAAAGGAAAGTAAACTACGAAAATTTTCTCTCGTAATCGTGGAAGTACTGTTTATTCAATTTTCTGCAAATGACGTACGTTGTAGAATTTTCAGATTAGAAATACATGAATATTCTATATTCTCTAGCAAGAAAATAAAAATAGTCTACCAATAGAATATCTAAACTATCACCAAACAATAACGGTTTTTAAATTGCAAGCAATAACATATTACTTGTTATTATTACTTGTTTGAAGAGGCTAGGATAAGAAGAAGATATTTAAAAAAAAATTGTTTTGTAACATTTTGATTCTCTCTTCCTATTTATTTCATCTATATATTTACACAGCAAAAATGGATGAATAATATATTTAATAGAGAGAAATATTGATATATCAATAATTTTCTAAAGTTGACTATAATATTAATTCAGGCAGTACACATATAACTTCGAGAAACTTTTTTCTTGATTATATGTACTTGATTATTTGAGATACACATTTTTCAGTTTCACCGTTTTATTGTAGGCCTGTTCTTTATCGAAGAATTTTCCGAACTGGTGCACAATGCAATAAGCTGAAGTAAAACAAACTATATTTTTATATAATTATATTTGTTTCACTTCCACTTATTGCATGAGTGTGCACCAGATTAAAAAGTTTATCGATAAAAAGTAGACCTTGTATCTATTTAGATTATATAGTAGAAATTGATAGCTTAGACATTCCAGACGTAGATTATGTACAGATGACCAACACGCTGCCTTCAAGTGTGTTCTTATCGCATTAATTCTCATAATCAGACAGAGAATAATCTTTTCTGCGGAAAAAAATAAATATATTCTCGGTGAATTATATAATAAACGCTCGTAATTACATTTAATACATTTATAAAAAAAAAACGGCGTCTTTAAGTAAATGATACCAGTTCAATCGAGACCTCACTTGATAGGAGATACTTTATTATAACCGAAAGAGTACATATCGCAATCATGCGATCGTAATCGCCCGTGATTGTCTTCAGATTAAGTTTAGGTTGACCCTTCGATATAAATGACATTTAGGATGTATACTGACGTGTCACGAAGCCAGGACAATCAATGCTGTTCCAGGACTCTGAGATAAAAGGGAGAACAACAAATTTCTCATATCTGTATATAGATCTTCCCATCGAGTTTCCGAGTCGCTAGAAGAGCTAAATAAACGCGACTGTGGTCGTTCTGGCTTCGAGACGACTCGTTGTATGTAAGGTATCTATAGAAACGTATTTTTGTACCCAATATGGTATCCATTCGCGCAGGTCGCAAGTTTTTTGTGTACTGATGTAAGTCATCTCGAGGATGTTTCCTCGTCGCGATCGCGTCAAGCGTGCACTCTGCTACTCTCCCATAAGATCTACGCAAACAATATTACGTTGAGGAGACGTTGTATTGTACGCGGTGTCCGTTTCTCGCAGTGCCTGCGAGCGTGACGGGACAAACGAGCAAAACGTCGCGACTACTGCAGCAATTGCAGTTGCTGCTCGCGGAGACTGCAATGTCCCGAGGCTGATACGTCCATTAACAAATCATTCCGTTCGCAGCATATGAATTTATCACACACCGTTGTCGCACACACGCGACCGACGTGACAAATAATTTTATATTAGCGTTGTCAAGGTGCGTTCTTGTTGATTAATTGATGGTTAATTTCGGCTGCGAGAGAGAGAGAGAGAGAGAGCTCGGTAAACATCAAAAGTATAACATGCGAAGGAGAGCGGAATTTCAAAATAGAGAGCAAGAAATAAATTAGTAGGCTGAATTCACGTCCTCAGGCTGTAAAGATTAATTAAAAAGTTACATGGAGCACCTTGGATATATTTTCAATTTTTTATATCGTCTAGGTGCGAGTTTTTCCGATAACTTTGAGATTGATTTTTCTTTAGTCTTTCTCTTGAAAACTTGATTAAACATTTTTTGTTCTTTCGATAACCCGCGTAGGAAATTAAATTTTCTTTATTTATCCTTGGAACTTAATTTTTCTAAAGAAAAGTTTCTTTACTTTTCATTATTTATGATTATTTCTTCCTTGGCTTTGTAAACTGAAGTAAATAAATTTCTTCTTCATCGTTTACGATTAGAAATATTATATGTTGATCTGATTTTTGTTTGAGAAAAATAAATTGTTTTTTCGAAAATCTACAAGTGCGGAGTAACCTAATTCTTCTGGACACTCCTATACTTAAGCCTTCAAAATTGAACGTGAGGTCGACCGGAGAAATTTCGAGTGATTATCAAAGTTCGGCGAATGTTCTTTCGCGAAACCGTGCCAACTTGCAATTCCGTGCACGAGACGTGTGACACGGAATACGTAACGATTCGCCGTCGCCGTCGGTCGGCGAAATAGTAGGCGCCAACAATCTCTGCTGCTGGTGCTGTGTAATCGCCGGGGAAAAATAAATAATCCGAGGTACACGGTGCACGCCAAAGGTAAATACAGATTCGGCGGCTCGCGGAAAACTTTCTTATCGAGAACGTGTCCCCGTAAAGGGAGTTTGTTAGGACTTTTGCCGGCAAAGGGGACGTGATTGCTCGTACTCGGACCCCAGATTCGTGCGAAATATTCCTGTAAACTTTTGATGTCATCAGAATTATCTCTTGTCTGTCCCATACTAACGAGAAATTAGAAAGATATGAAATGCATAGCTGACTTTCATTTAAACGTTCAACGAGTTTTGAGTTTAGTAATTGATCAATGATTTCGCCGAGACATGAAATAGGGTTCGATATTCATATTATTTTTATTAATATCGAAACGTTACAAGGAGTCGCATTTTTTTTTTGGTCAACTCAAAGTGCCAAGGGCCACCGCTGTCGCACAACGAAAGTTAAGTATGCAATAATGATTAGCAGGCGTAACTGGTTTGCCAACGAGCTTCGAAATAGGTCATGCCCCGGAGGTAC